ATCTAAAAATATTGAAGAAAAAAAAAATCTTCTGCTATAATATTAAATGATAATAATGAACAAGAAAGTTTAATAATTTGTCTGAGGTGTGTACATATTACAGTGAAATGCCTGTGACATTAATTTATTTTATAAACATATTTAATGACTATAAAATAGCAAACTTAATGCATTCATTATTTTAGACAATAGAAAATGTATAAAAATGAAGAGAAATCAAAGTTCACGGACAAATCATGTGAATGAATATCTCATTTAATCTCTCTCTCTCTCTCTCTCTCTCTCTCTCTCTCTCTCACAAACACACATACACACACACACACACACACACACACACACACACACACACACACACACACACACACACACACACACAACCACTCAAAGAAAAACAGAAAAAAAAAAACATAGTGGGTGGATATCTTTCAAGAGCATTTTCTTCATTATACCTTCTATGGATAACAAAACATTTTTTGCACATGTAAATTCTCAAAGGTTTACTCAGAATTAGTGGCCTGCTCACATCAATGGCCATATTACATAATTAATTACAAAATTATCAAAGATTATATATAAACTGTGGTATTGTGGGACTCTTTATAACTTTTTTCTCTTTGTCTAATTCAAATGGCCAGTTCTTTTAACAAAAACCAATGGTTTTATGCTTAGGTATCTCACAGGTATAATGATCGATCTTTTATTTCCCTACACTATCCTAAAAAGCATATATACACAATTCTGGCATTATTGGTTAATATCAAGTTTAAACTAATCTTAATTACCAAATTTATGGTTCATAGAAAAGAGAAAAATATATACAAGCTATACACAATAAAATCAAAATAGTTAACACACCAAAAAGTCATTAAGCTCTGAATTTTTCTTTTAGTGATTAATTAGCTTTTTATGTCTTATAGATGCTTATTATATTTCCAGGTATTTACTTTCAGTTTTGCTATGAGCATCCCCAAAATATAATTACCTTTCATTCAAGTGGAAAATTAGTATCTGGGCTGAGTTTTACTTTATACATAGACATATTTTAGTACAAGCAAATGAAGAAAGGTGATCTTATATTACAAAGAGTAAAAAGACATGCTCACATTTGTCTCTATTTGATGTGACAATCCAGTATGTTCCATGCTTTTTCACTAAATAGCATACCACATGTGGTTACATCAGCAAGAGTCCATCATATCTATCTAGTACAATATTCATTAGCATTATAATAACAAATAACCTATCACCTTACTTTTGAGTTTCAGACTTTGTTCATAACTCTAATCATTGCAGTTAATTCATAAATTCTCTCCTTGTGTTAGTAAGAAGTGTAAGTAGATTAATGTTAGTGTTACCATATCCCTTTTAGAATAGCTTATACCTAAATACCTGATAACATACCTGTAATTTAACTCACTTGAGGTGGTCTTGGTGTCTGATCTGTGCAGAAGTACATATTTAAACAAAAACACTAATTATGAAGCTAATGAGTAATAAGAAGAAATGATAAGACAAAATCTTTCATAACAAAATTCTTTCCTCTTTTTTATAAAAAAAAAAATATTGAATGAATTCACCAAAACATCTCCACCTTGCCACCCGATTTCATTCACAAACTTCCATTGTGTAGAGTAGGGAACATACCTCAGAGAAGGCATGCTTTTGCCCTTCACAAGACCCACTGGGGGGAATCGTGGTGAGGGGAGGCATGGCTGGTGGCGATCCTCAACAAATTTCTCAAGAGCTGAATGTGGACGTGATTTCTGCTCCCCGTCTACTCCCCAGGAACTGCCACCAAAATCACCTGCTCCTCCTTGCTAGGGTTGCAATTGAGAGTCTATAATTACAGACTTTTTCCATTTCAGGGCACTGAGAATGTGCCTAGATCTGGTTATATCTTAAGCTCAAAACCTAGTTTTCTGAATCTATCTAAGTATGGTATTAAAATCTGATATGTACATTCTTGTATCTGTAAGCTATGTTTGTGCAGAGTATGGACAAAAATTGAAAACTACATAAAATAAATTATTCAAACGTAATATAGTCGTCATAGTCAAAAAAGTATTCTCCATTAAACCATTGTCACAGAAATGACCAACAAGTCAAAAGCCAATCACAATTTGCTAGTTTATTCACTCTACCAACCTGATCATCAGAGATGGATGATCTCCTGGAGTCGTCATGACCTATTTTCTCGAGGGCTTTCTCTGAGCACGACCTCAATTTCGTCTCCACGAAGGCTTTTAGCTCGTTCAGCTTCTTCTTTTTCCTTGTGCTCCCCCCGCTTGTGCTCAAACCTTCTTGTTGCGGACAGTACTGGTCTGATAAGAATGGAGAGTCTGTCAAGAATAATGCATATTAACAGATGGGTTTTTATACCTTAAAAAGCTTTTGATTTTGAATTTGCTTCAAAGAAGGACAAGTGGGGTGATCATACAGTTCCTAAATGTTATGGAAATGTTGTGCATAAAACAAAGAAATGTATCTAATATCTTTTTATACTTCTGGCATTGAAAAAAAAAGATATACTACTATGATTAGATAAATACATTACAGCTTTTATCAGGACGTGATAAAATGTCTTAATCACTAGCAAATTTACTAGTTAAAAGAAAAAGTATAATAAATAAATTATACAATAGTTTCCATTACCAACAGCATTCCTACTACAATGGTCAATATTTTTTTCCCTTTTGGATCAAGTGAAAACTGGAGCAAAATATCCAACTCTTTATTTGTAAAACTAAATTAGAGAAAAAACCATCGCTTAAATAAAATCAGGCTGAAACTCAAGGATGATGAAATACACAAGTAACTTTTCCATTCAGCATATGTAAAAGAACTGGTTGCTATCTTTGTGAAGCATTTCTTACACAAATATATCTACCATCAGATAGCATACTGATGTAAACTTAATCTCGCTCAAAATCATGAACCCAAATTTACAGAAAAATGATATCTATACTCTTTCTATACTGTTTTTCTTCCTCTAATTAATGTATTTTTAATTACATTCAGATAGAGGTAACTGTAAACTAGAATTTACATTTACATTCATATAAAAAAAACACCCTGCAAAACAGAAAGTGAAATGATACTAATTTCTCATTATTGTGCAAATATCTTTCCCCTCCATCTCCCCCCAAAACAGGAGCTTCCTCTCTAAGTTAGATTCAACAAACAGAAATAATTGTCTTTATAATATACATTTTTTTTGCTCTTCTAAAGATAGTGTTTCTATATATTTCAGAATAAAATTCTATAATCAATCATCAAGATTTCTCCAAGTAACTGTTTAATATGATAAAAAAGCAATATATGTTTTAATAAGAAATCAAAAAGAATAATAAATCAGTAAGAAACACATTTCAATTAAATCAACTTAAATAAAGGAAATTTAAATGACACACTAGACTATATCTCAGTATTTTCCATTATAGACAATCAGGAGTATTATATGATAGAAATGACCCTTATGAAACCTGTTCACTTAAAAAGTGTTGTTTAAATTAAATCAATAAATACTAAAACTACTAAAACATAATGAAAATATCATAAAATAAGCAAAAATATTTTCTTTACTACAATAAGCAAAAACACTTTCTTTGCTGTCTACAATGCAAAGACATAAGAAATTTACTGTCTGATAAATCAAACACAAAATTTAATTCTGTAATCAACTCTTTCTATTCTGACTATTCTATCAATTCTGAAACTGTTTCAAACATTTTCAAAATATCTTTCCAAGTGTAACATCTTGACAGTGTAGTACTGATGTAAACCATTTTAACAATCATATGTGTAAGAAGTATTTTCTAACAATTCTATCCATTAAAATAAAAACCCACCAACAAAATCCTCCTTAACATCATGAGAATTTCATAATCCTGCATCTGATCTTGAACAAAAGAATTAACAGTAGTAATATGTAAAATAATATTCGTGCAAGGGTATGGAAACTTGCCACAGACTCCTCATGCGTGCAGAACAGATTCAAACATGGTATACAATAATCCAAATCATCTGGCACTTGTCTTTAACAATGCCCTTTATCCTTTAAACACTTTGCACATTTAGCATCAATTCAGTGCACTCTATATTTCTGAACTACTGTACATGATTCAAAATAAAATTCATGAAAGGATACATATCTATATCAGGATGTTTGTATAGTGCTAACATATTACAAGAGTTTAATATTCCATGAACAGAACAGCATCATGGCTAGCCATAAATAAACCCACTGCAACTAAATCACATCATATACAATATACACTGTCTTGCTGGATTTTTTAAAAATACTGAAATGCTGCTCAAAAGTTCAGAATATCAACTTTAAAAGACATGTCTGTATAGCTCAAACTCATAGAAATGAATACTTTGAGATGATATTAAAACCAGACACTTTTCATTTAAAATATATCTACTTCCATAGTGATAAAGCATTTCAAAATATTAAGAATTGATTTATGAAACTATAAATGAGTAATCTGAATTATCTATCATAATATTTGTAACAAATGCATTTACAACCTGTTTAAGCAAGCCCTGAGCAATACAAACACTTTAAAGCTTGATTATGTGATCAATGAGTTCACTAAACTAAACCACTCTAAACACATTCATAAAACAAACTTATAAAAAGTGTCTAAATTTCTAGAGAATAAAAATTCAGGACAGTAGCTCAGACATCTGATTTTTGGTGGGTACAACCATCACTTGTGCTAAAGTAACAGATACAACATACAGTCTGTGATTCTTGGGATAACATCTGCAAGAAGCATTCTCATGTCATCTGAATTTCTATGTTCTTAGACTATATAATATTTCTAAAATGTTCCAGGCTTCTTATACATCCAGATGTATAAACAAGAATGTAGATGGACTATGGATACATAAGACTGACTCTTCTGAATGATTCTTGCTAGTGTTCATGCTAGTTCCCTGATGGAAAAAAAAGGTTTAGTAATCAAGAATGTGAGACATAATGCAGTACTGCCAAACACAATATAAATATTTTGATGTTTCTCTTTCTGCATAAGAAAGTCTACATAGATTTACAGAAATATATGGCCTTGGAGATAGATAGGTAGACAGCTGAATTAAAAACCATAAACTACTAAAACCTGTCTGGCCTTAAAAATGTCATATATTACATCTATTTCATTAAAAAGGTCATGAGCACGACACTAGGATTTATCCAAATCTCTTGCAACAGCGATATATGAGATTGACTATGCAATAACAGCAATACATCACTTTCTACTACTACATATGAAGGCCTACATGTCACTACTTATGCTCAACCACATCCTGTTATAAATTCATAAAAAAAAAATCACATTGGCCTGTAACTGCCAATACTTTTAGTCATTCACAAGACTCTTTATTTGTGTAGTTCCTTGTCTATCCATCAGTCTACGTTCTCATTTCATTTTCCTTCTTTAACTCTCTCATTATCCTTTGTCTTTACTTGAACTCTAAAAATAAATAAACATACACATATAAATAAAGATGATGAAAGCATTACCTAAATTGGTGTTTCCAAGATATGGATATGCAAATTTCCTGGGGATAAGCAAGCTGATTTATATCATATTTGGCAGCTGCATTTCCGAAGCACAAGCATTTAGCGTGATATCAGCCATAGCTATTCTTTTACCAGCTAGACCTGAGAACCAGTTTTGTTTTACATATATATTTATATATATATATATATATATATATATATATATATATATATATATATATATATATATATATATATATACATATATATATATATATATATATATATATATATATATATATATATATATATATATATATATATATATACATACATATATATATGTATATATATATATATATATATATATATATATATATATATATATATATATATATATATAGTATATATATATATATTATATATATATACATATATATACATACATATATATATATATATATATATGTATATATATATATATATATTATATATATATATATATATATATATATATATATATATATTATAATATATATAATGCATACACACACATACACACACACCCACACACACACACACACACACACACACACCACACACACACACACACACACACACACACACACACATATATAATATATACATATATATATATATATATATATATATATATATAATATATATATATATATAATATATATGTATATATTTGTATATACATATATACGTATATGTATATGTATATATATGTATACATATGTATATATATATATATATATATATATATATAATATATATATATATAATATATATATATATATATATATATATATATATATATATATATATACATATACATATATATATATATATATATATATATATATATATATATATATATATATATATATATATATATTTATATATGTATATATATATATATATATATATATATATATATATATATATATATATATATATATATATATATATATATATATATGTTTTTTTTATACAATTGAAATAAATCTGGTGAAACCATAATTATGCTTTCTTGTTCTAAGAGATACTCAGTCTAACTGGCTGAAGACCTGAGCTACTGTGTTATCTTGCTGCTGAACAAATACCATGTATATGCATGGCATTTATGGTTTGTGCAGTGACAGAGAAATACACCAATGAAAACTTGAGGCTCAACCGAACTCAAATTAAGTAGGAGTTGCGTTTTCTTATTCTTGAGCTTGACCGAACTGGACTCTTCCTTGTCCTTGAAGAAGAAGTCTCGCACAGACATCATGCTGCCTTTTGCAGTGAAAAACTTGAACTTTTTCCCCCGGTGGCTACTGTGGGGTTTCTCCTGAGAGCCGTCTGGAGGCGACTCATCACACAAAAGAGGAGACAGAAGGAAAGAGCCGCTGCTGCTGAGGTCACTCAAATTCTGGCCGCTCCGAGAGGATGTCTCAGAGTCTCATTGGAACAGAGGGTAATTGTGGTTAACTTTCCCTATTCTCTAGGTATGCTATATAAGTCTGCTTGCACTATTATCCCTTCTTTTTTCTCTTTCTCTCTTTTTTTTCTGGTCTTCTATTTCTTTCTTTCTTTCTTTCTCTCTCTTTCTCTCTCGCTCTCTCTCTTTCTCTTCCTTTCCCTTGTTCTTTCAATCTCCCTCTTTTTGCTCCCCCTATAAGTCTTTCTCTTCACAATCTTCAATCTATTCTTTCTACTCTTCTTTCACTCCATTCTCTGCTATTCCCACCTATCTAGCCCTCAACACAAAAAAAAGAAAGATGAAAGTAATGCCGCAACCTGACTCACCACTGATATAATTATCAGATGAGGACTGATCGCTTTGCTCTGTGCCCTCCTTGCCCTTGCGTTCCTCTACCTGGTCGCAGTGCAGTGACACATGAATCTTGGGGATTGGGAGGGAGTTGCTGCGGCGCCTCGGAGGTACAGTATGGCCTGTCTCCTCCCCGATGTCTTGCAGC